TTCTTTCTACTCTCTAAGTACAAAACCAGAAATTTAACCATGGACTTTTAGAAACTGATTATCCCCAAGTAGAAAATTATTCGCATTATTAATGAGGGTAGTTAAGGCTTGGTGGGCGTTTTCTTCTCGGGCATTTAAAAGGGTTTGGGTGGTGACAGCGGGGTCGTTGAGATATTGCCGTCAGTTGGTTAAAGTATTCGCGGCTCCGTGGCTGGTTTTTAGTTCGTTAAGTAAGTCAGCATCGGTGATAGTGCCCGCTTGGCGGTTGGTATTGAGGCGGTTAATGGCTTCAGTTTTGTTCGTGGCTAAATTATTCGCATTATTAATGAGGGTAGTTAAGGCTTGGTGGGCGTTTTCTTCTCGGGCATTTAAAAGGGTTTGGGTGGTGACAGCGGGGTCGTTGAGATATTGCCGTCAGTTGGTTAAAGTATTCGCGGCTCCGTGGCTGGTTTTTAGTTCGTTAAGTAAGTCAGCATCGGTGATAGTGCCCGCTTGGCGGTTGGTATTGAGGCGGTTAATGGCTTCAGTTTTGTTGTTAATTACTTGACGAACCTCACCAATGGCTTTTATTACCACCCCTTCTCGTTTGGCTAATTCATTGGTGCTTTTTACTGTTTCAGCATTAATATAATTCTCCTTTCATTTTTCTCCAAGTTTTATTAAGTTTAAATCTCGTAATTTTTTGTTAAGGCTATCGTCATTTACTTCTTGGGTGGTGCTAATTTGTTGTTCGGCAATAATACGCTGAATAGTTTCGTTTTTGTTAGTACTTAAATTATCACCTCTTAAACCCGAAATAGCACTTTCTACATTGTTGCTGCGGGTGTTTACTGATTTGTAATCAGCGGATTTTTTAATATAATCTTTTCAACTTTCATATTTTCCTTTTCTAACCTGTTCGTCTTTAACTAATTGTGCTAATACTTGCTCGTCATTTAGGCTACTATTAACTATCCAGGAAGCAAGTCTCTCCACCGCATCTTTTTTAATATCGTCTAAACTAACTCTTTGGAGAATCGCCTTTATTTTATCGGTATCGATATCTCCGTCGTCCTTGAAAATTTTCAACCCTTCATCTTTTATTTTGTCTAACCTTGCTGAATAGATGCCTTTTTCTTTTTTTAAGTTGCTATTTTCAGTGGTTAAGTTGGTATTTTTAGATGACAAAGTTTTATTATTGTCTTGTAATTCAGTTATTTTAGCGTCTTTTTCTTCAATTTGTTTTTCAAGGGCTTTTATGGATTTTTCTTGCTGGTTAATTAGTTTGTTAAGTTTTTTAATATCACTCTCTAATGCTTTAATTTGTTTGCCAAAAATTACATCTAAACGATAAGCACTATCTCGAAAAATTTTCCAATTGTCTTTATCAGCAGAATTTAGTCAAACATTAGAAGCCGTATCCAAATAAGTTGCGGCATTATTCATTTTTTTGCGGGCTGTTTCTTCATCATCTCCTTCCTCTTCTTCGGTCCGAGCAGTCAATTCACTTTCTTTTTCAATTTCTTCCTCTTCTGCTTCAGGGAATTTGTATTTTTCTGCTAATCTTTTATTTTCACTTTCAACTTTATTTTTAAGTGCTTCAATTTCGTTTCTTAAATTTAGTAATTCGGCTAAAAAACTAGGTCTTATCTCGGCTTCTCTATGGCTGCCTTCAAAATAGGTGTCTCTTCTTCTTAAAGTAGGTTCAGTGTCTTCTACGGAAAAAGGAGTAGCAGGTTCGGAAGACGGCATACTTTTCGGTCTAGATTTAGGTGAAAAAGTTATGGAGGAACTTTTTGTGTCCTCTTGTTCTCCAATAATTCCTTTTTCTTTTAATCATTGCTCTATTACCTTAGCATAAATAGCAAGATTATCAGCAGTCTTCTCATCTTTACATTGTTGAAGCAATTCTTTAAATTCTTCATCATATTTGCTGGAAGTCCTTCATATAAAATTTGCAATACATCTTCTTCACTTTTTATCTTCTTTTCCTTTTTTACGCTCCGGTTTTTCCTCCAATCAGTTTTTAAATTCATTTCAGTTTATTTCATTATCTCTCTGTTTTCTTAATTGCTCTCTTATTTGTTTAGCATTAGCAGTTAAAGATTTTTTATCAGAACTTAATGCTCCTAAATCGTTAGCAAAATTCGTTAATTCTTTAAAAAGAACAGCCAAATCCTCCTTTGCAAAAGTTATGTGGAGGTCTTTTATTTTACTTTCGGGTAATCTTCAAAAATTATTTTCATATCAGTCTTTTCAAGCATCCAAATCGCGGGCTAATTTCCTTTCTTTATTTTGTAAATCTGCCACTTGGTCATTTAATTTTTTATTAACTTTGTTTTCATCGCCATCTCAGGCTTCTCTTTCGCGTTTTAAACTATCTTCAACATCTTTTTTAAGTTCAACTATTTCTTGGTCTTTTAGGCGAACTTCTTCCCGGTAAAAACTTTCTTTTTCTTTATATGCATCCTCTTTCTTTTTTCAGGTCCGGAAGTTTTCATAATTTAAAATAGCCACATCAATTTCGTTTTTCTGTTTTCTATATATGTTGTGTAAGGCTTTCCAGGCATCATTAGTCTCAATAGTTTCATTATTTTTTTTCTCGCTGGATTGACACTGCTTTAAAAGTTCATACTTTTTGGTGGCATCCGGGCTGCTCTCTCAATTTACTTCTATAATTCCAAAAAAAAGATTATTTATCTGGGTGCAAAAGTAATCTTGCTTTAACTCTTTTAATTCTTCCCAAGTATTTTTTTTATTTCATGCATCAGGGTCAATCGGATTTTGGTGTAATTCTTGGGCCAAATTTTCAGTTGTTCTTTTGGTTTCATTTTTTACTGCTGCTTTTCTTTCTTCTTTTCATTCTCCCTCTTCTCTAAATTCTTCGGGTATTCAGTATTTATCTATGTCAATTTTTCATTCCGCCATATTATCATTTTTATCATCGGTACTACTACTACTACTACTACTACTACTTACTTCGTCAATTTTTTTAGTAGTATTTTCTTTCCAAGCATCTAAATTTTCAAAGGTTTGGGCTTTAATTTCTTCTTTATAATCGTAGCCGATTACTTCATATTTTAGATTTTTTTTAATTAAATAATTATCTAATTCTTCAATAATTTTTTTTACTTGGTCAAGGTAAATATTTATCGCCAGTTTTTCAATTTCCGGATAATAGTCTTTTTGTTCTTGTTCGTCCACTTTTGCTAATCAAGTCTCTTTTTCTGTTTCGGGAAAGTATTCATTAATAAAATCTCTGGTTTTTTGGCATAAATCCTGCTTTTTTTGTTGAAGTTTTTGGGTTTGCTCTTTAATTTGCTGACGAATATTTTCTACTTGGGGATAATCAGTTTCTAAAAGTCCATGGTTAAATTTCTGGTTTTGTACTTAGAGAGTAGAAAGAA